CTCTTAATTAGCAAAAGTTAACCAGCTTCTAGTGGATGAGACGAACCCAGAATGGCTAATCCAAAGCTGGACAGTCCTGATCCCCAAGGATCCCCAGAAAGGACCAACTACTAACCAATAACCTGCCTCAATAAAACATGGAAGCTCCTGTCCTCTAATAGGGCGAAAATGAACAGGCACATAGAAGGAAAAAGGCAGAGACACCAGAGGGGCAAAACACCTCCTTGTTGACGGAGCAGTCACTTGAGACTGTAAAACCAGACTGTCCAACCTGTGCACCGCCTGGATCGACTACATGAAAGACGATGATTCCAGGATTCAGATGGATCCTGGAATGCCTGAAACAGAAGAAGATCAACCCGAGAGCCTTCATTAAGAATTCAACAGGGATGTGGCCAACAACACTAGAGGCCAACAAGTCACTGTCAAGGATGCAGGATTTACCAAGGAGATACTCTGTCCCCACTCCCTTTCTACAAAGGCCTGAACACCCTTAGTCAAATCATCAATGAGACTGGCTGAAGAAATCATTAGTCATGTCCTCAACATGGATGGTATCAAGCTGTGTGCCAGGAGAGACATTAGTTCACCGATCCACACTGCTAGTGTAACAACATCTGGACTGGATAAATGTAGTTGGATGGGAAAAAAGTAGGGAAAGTCATTAGAACTGGGGCGATTGTACTACCAGAAGGCAGCATTGTTGACATGGAAGATAGATGCAAAGACTTTGGAATCCCACAGGCAAATGGGACTCATGAAGAGGCCTATAGGAACGCGACAACTGCCAAATTCCTGCAGAGAGAAAACCAAGTAAAATGAGTCAGTTGAATGAAAAGAAAAAGATCTGGGGAATCAACACCTACACACTGCCAGTGATCAGATACTCTGGGATAATAACCTGATCAACTGAGGACACAGAAGCTACTGACATCAAGACAAAGAAACAAGAGACTGTAAGCTAAGTGAATGGAAGGAGACAAAGAGTGTCAGACCACTATCCAAGATGAAACAATAAAGATCCTTTAGTACATCAGGAAGATGGCAACAGCTGATCACATGCTTAGTGAATACCTCAGACAGCAGAAACCAGAGAAAGAAGAGGAGCAAGAAGATGAACCATCAAAGACAGGCCCCTGGACAGCATGTACCACCAGCAGATAGAAGAAGTTGGTGATATTGAAAATCCTGCCAATGGCTTTACAAAGCCGGACTAAAAGATAGCACAGAGGCACTAAACACAAGATCGATAGAGGCTGGGGTCTACCACACCAGGCAAGAACCCCAGGTGTAGGTTGTGAAAAGATCCCCCTGAGACAACCCAACAGCAGGGTGCAAGATGCTAGTAGGCAGGACATACATGGGACGCCATCTCAAAATGGTGTGTAAGTTATGCACAAATTACATATTTAACAAACTTATTTTCTTAGTGATCATTTGAGTGTCGTCTGGACATTCCAGTTGTTTTTTTTCTAAGAATCTAATGTTAAAAATATTATGTGCTTTACTATTGTGAAATACACCTATGAATCTATTCAGAAGTTGCCACTAGTTCACTGGTTTTGTTTTTACAATGTCAAGGGCTTTTTTAATTTGTTCAAATATAGGACTTTAAAGGGCTGCCTGAATTTTGGTTATATTTTTAATTAGCCAATGCACAGATGTGTTTTAATACATCTGTCCCAAATTACAGATTACAAACATAATATTTTAAAGGAAATCAGGGATGGCGGGGAAGAAAATATTCTAATATTTTGATGATTTGGGATTCGAGTGACCAGGTCTTCACAATCAAGAATTGGCACACATTTGACTAAATTATTTTCTGAGCTATAATTAGAGCACCACCATCTGTATACTAATGATACACAGAAAGTGTAGGAATTACAAAGTATAAGAATATTTTGTTTTCTTTGCACTGGTTACATGTTTTTGGAGTTCTGACGTCCTCTTGTGTTCTGGGCTTCACAGTAATAAGTCCCACTGTTTTTGGGTCTGATGGAGAAGTTCTGTCCTGATGCTTTTGGGAGTCTTTAATTAGCTGATCTGCACAGTGATCTAAACAAAGACTGAACCGGCATCATCATAATAATGTTGGTCCAGGATGAACACTGCAACTGACCAATCACGTCGCTGTGATGTCTGATGTTTTATTTATTAATTTGGACAAAATAATAAATAAATTATTGTATCACTCATTGTTACTGTGGGACCCAACATACAGACACTGGGTCTCTCAATGATAGAACACACAGACTTTATTCTTGCAGTGATTAACACACACTGCACACCACAGTCATCACTCACACACCACTGGTCCCAGCGACCTACTGAGACAAAATAGAAGAATCACAATTAGCTGATGACTGGCAGCTGTGGCCGCCCGACTCCTCCGACACTGTCTCCAAAACCTCTGCTCCACCCATTCACCACACCCACCCACTCTAATTATCAAGTTAAGTTTGCTGTTAGCCAAATTTAGGTTACAAATTTGGTGTGCTAGTCATAATTTTAAAAGCATTAACTAACTTTTTGGCTCAGATAATGTAATTTGGTCAGTTGGAAGGTTGATCCTAGAACATTTATGATTAAACGGGAACCTTACATGAGTGGAACAAAATTTG